TATATATATATATATATATATATATATATCTGAGATATCTGATAAAGGCAGCATAAACTTATTTAACAAGCAAATTGCAACAACTAAAAACATTTCTGTAGCAATTTAAGTGGCAGCAAAAAACAAACAAAAATTACAAGTTAAAACTAACCTATAAATATATATACAATATGTATATATATTTGCATACTTATATGTATAAATTAACATAATTTTATTATAAAGAATATACAAATTAAATATTTATATGCGAGAAGAACGAGAAAAGCGCAGAAGCAGTTCAGAAGAAGAAGATTTCATCAAACACACACATAAAAAATTATATATATATATGTATAAATAAAGGAGGAACAGCAAGTAGAAGAAGAAACAGCAGCAGAAGAAGAAGACAACTCTTAATAGCAAACTAGACGACGAAGAAGGAGTAACAACAACAGCATAAAAACTTAAAAATTATAAATATATATATATGTAAAAGTAAACAGCATATTAGTTATATATATATCATATATTATTATATATGTGCCTATATAATAATATGTCTATATATATTTATGGGGTTTTCTTTTAAGTTAAGTGAGCTTATGATTAATGAATCCTGAAACAATGCACGCAATTGATAAAGTAAACAAAAACCAAACACAACTGTACCCAGCGTCGGCGCGCATTAGCCAGACCTAACCTAACTTATCGAAAAACTAATCTAAAGAAAGAAAAAATATAAAAGAAAAAGCAAAATATAATTATTAGACAATGTTGCCACCAAGAAATGAATGAAAAGCAAAACGAACACAGCTGTACTTTAATTTAGTTTCATATCGAAAAAAAAGAGTTTTCCTTCTTTCCTTTCTCTACAAACTTTCTGCTTAAGTTTTTCTTTTCATATCTCTTGTACTATCTCGTCCCACGTCTCTCCTCCAGCTATATTGTTGCTCTTGCTGAACGAACTCTGCTATAACCTCTCCATATATATATATATATATATATAAATATATGTATGTATGTATGTTACTATCCTACTACACTGCTACAAAACAGCGCATCTTCACACACTTTTCTTTTCTCTTCTCCCACTGCATTAAACCAACTGTGAGTATAATATATAAACATACATATATATAAAGATTCGGCTATAATATAATTATATATATATATATAATAAAAGTCTTTTGGTTTGCTTGATCTGTGGAACGAATCCTTTGAGTTCCGCAAGCAAAAAACAAAATAAAATTAACTCAAAAATGAACTTTTCTATAACTTTTTTTAAACAAAGAACAAAAAAACAACTAAAATTTTGTAGTGAAAATTTGTGCAAGTTTTAAAACTAAAATTTAAACTAATGCAAGTTATATATATATATACGATCGGATGGTCTCTATATAATAAAAAACAACTATGAAGCAAAACTTTAAACTTAAACAAAATTTAAATTTAATAAAATGAATACAAAAAACACGAATTTTTCTATCTAAAAAACAAAATTATGAGAAAACACTTTACAACACTTGAGCCAGGAGAATTTGTGTTAAGCTTCGCAACGATCTGGCAACTCTGGCGCAGGCATTTCCATTGCAAATGTTGCAAAAAAGTTAACAAAAGGAAAGAATTGAATAAACCATTTGACAAACAAATTTGTAGCTAATTTGCCTAACAAAACAAAAGTAAAAAAAAAAAACAACAACAAGAAAATAAAGAAGAAAGCAGCAAGAACAAGCAAAACAAGAACTAACAAAAAAGCAAATGTCTTAAATATTTATAAATTCTGTTTTTGCAGTGGCAAACGTTAAATATTACAATATTTGCAGGCATATATATATACACATACACACACATATATATGTATATATGACGAATATATATATGTATATATGCAAATATCATGTATGCTAAACAGAAACTTCTTTAAAAAAAATACACAAACATTTTAAAAACCTCGAAACAACAAAAAAATTGTGTTTTCTCTTTTTTTTTGTTGGTATTTTTTTTTTTTTTTTATATTTATTTTTTGGCATTTTTTCGAAAAACCTTTTGGGATTGGCTTTTACAGACAACACACAAATTGAAAAACATCTCACATACAACGTCTTCTTCCAACTAACGGCCGACAAGCTCGCAGAAAAGAAATTTCCACGCGCGCCGGATGAGGAACCGAGAGGAATCGCATGCTATCCATGAATTTAGAAACCAAACTAAAACTAAAATAAAAACAAAATAAGATTTAAAGAAATAAAACTCAACAACCACCTATAAAAATGTTTTCAGTGTAACGTTGCAAGAAATAAATCAAATATATATATATACATAAAATAAAATAAAATTAAAAACATATTTTGAATGTCTAATTATATGCGTCTAATATTATTAAAATACAAATAACCATATGTACCTATACCAAAAGCTTGAACAGCCCTCGTAATAACACAATATAGAGTATTATGCACTACAACAAAATACTGTTTCAAAAGAACTTCTCAAAACACTTGATTCGAAAACGCTTTTCGAAATTTTCCAAAAATATTTTTCGATTGTTGTACATAGAGAAAAACATTTGTGTCTAACCGTAATCGTTAATCGATATATATCTGACATATATACATATATATATATACACTCCAGATTCAGATATTGATGTTGTGCATAGTTTTATAAATATTTCGTCAATAATTTCTATGTGTGCAAAATATTTAAAGAAAACCATCAAATATAATTGAAATGAAAAGCAATTGTAGGCCTTCAGAACTAAAGCAAATTATATATGAAACAGAGCGGATATAAACATATATATATATATATACATATACATATATAGTCCAGCAGAATTATAAAATTATAAAAATTTATTTTTAATTCAATTTATTCTGTTTACATCTATTTACTTGTTTTAGCCTGTTCCATTTGAGCGTTTCGTAAAAGTCATAAACGTTTCGATTCCGCACGTTCCACCATTTAGTTCTGGTGTTTAGAATCACGCGCGAAATTGTTGCATTTTTCACTTTTTCGAAATCGAATTCGATCATATTTTCCGATAGCGAAATACAAACGGTGTGTGTGTGTGTGTGCGTGAGACTGTGTGAGTGTGCGTGTACTTGCGACTGAGTGCGTGTGTGTGTGTGTGTGTATTTAATTAATAAACTTAAAAAGAAAGCTACAAAAATTTTGCAAATATTTTAAAAATGTTTCAAAGACTTTAAATAAATTTGGGGAACAGCTAAAAAGAAATTTCGTTTTTTAAATAGAAATATTTTAAGACTTAACTTAAGATTTAGGCAGAGTTGAATTAATTTAAGTTGAAATATTTATGTATGTTATTTGTTTAGATTTAAATTTAGCTTAATTTAAGTAAATTTTGGTTAAACCGAGACGTAGGCAACTTATTTTAAACTAAGTTCAGGCTGAAAGTAGGCAACATATTTTTTATTGTAAATTTTTGCCTTGTCATAGTCCAAAACATCGCACATATATATATATGTATATCTGGATATTAATTGCCAGCTTGTTGCATAATACACACTTCCACACACATCTCTACACATACACACACACACACACTTGAAAATTTCTGGGTTTTTGCAACATTTTGTGGACTGCGAAATTGTTTGAATTTTCTTCAAACAGCTACAACAACAACAACAACGGCATCGAATTTTAAGAAGAAAAAAAAACCATATATATATATATAAATTGAAAATAAAAATGAAGGAAACACAGCGCATAAGCTGTTTATTTTAAGCATATACCGATTATAAAGATCCTAAATGTTGAGCAAATATATATAAAACGAGTATATGGATATATATTTAGTCTACAGAAACAAAATTGCTTTAGACAGCACTTGACAACACTGGAAACACACACACACAGAAACACATACACACACCTATATAGTAATCAAAATTGTTGGCAAGACGAAAGTAAAATCAGAAAATAGAAAGGAAACCAAAATAAATACAATACAAATCCCTAAACAACTGAACTTATGTAAACTGTAACTTCTAAGCGCTGTAAACGACAAGTCTTAACAAATTTCAGAAACAATATAAAAAGAAGAAAAAAAGAAAAACAAAAGACAACCTTTTCTTTTGTAATTACTAAAGAAATTTTCAAAAAACCGAAACTAGCTGAATACTATTTATACCACATTGTAACAGCAGGTAAATAGAACAGTTTTTCATTATATCAAGTATTAAGGTGCATACCGAATTAAACAACAAAAACAAATCAGTTATGCGTCAACGTAAACGAAATCAAATTCATAAACCAACAACAAGAAATATGAAAGAAAAAATCTGAAAACAGAAAAATAACAATTTTAATAACAATTCTATTCTATTTAACAGGCAAATGAAAAACCAATAAAAACAGAATATACAAATAAAAATCTTATGTGTTTCATTTTTCGATCGTAGCTGAACTAGTTCCAGTTCGAATGAAAGCATGGAAATGATAATTATGTTGCACAGTGCGTATGCGTAATATTGTTGGCGCCATCTAGGGCTCAAAATATATAGTCACAGCGAAACATTAGAAAATTGTGGCGCCATCTATGTTGCAATCTCTGCAAAACACGTTCCTAGTACTACTAGGGGCTCTGCTCCTCAAAAGGACTAGCACGTTCAGTAATAGATGGCGCTAGCAAGTTGGGAAACAAAAATAATTATATGTTGCCATGTAGCGTATATATACCTGTCCTGTTTATATAATGTGGCTGCACTTGCATACATAAAGCTGTTAATTTCAGTTCAATTCGAGTGTTTTGAAAAGCTCACGAGGCAGCTGCTAGTCTCTGCATGCTTTACACTCACTAAACAGCTCAAGCACAGCTTTTACAACTGCTAAATAAACTCACTCATACAAATGGCGTTTAATGAATGAATTAAGCACAAACAATGAACAGCAGCTGACAGCTTTTACACAGCAGCTAAACAAAAGCAAAACAAAAACAAAGTCAAAGCTCGCTCAATGCAGTTGTGCAGCGTCTTCTCGGATGCCATGTGTTGAGTAAATAGAGAGAGCGGGTAGGGAGATGTTAGAGTCGACATGGCGGTGTGTGGGAGAGAGCGTATGTGAGAGCAGAGCAGCTAGCCAATCAGGGTAGCCAAGACTACCATTCTTATGAAAAAGAAAAATAGTGCAGCTCTTTATTATTTTAATTAAACAAAAATGTTTTATGCTTAAGACAAAAGTATAAGTGCAAATGTAGAAATAATTTTTTTTTATTAAACAAAATTGAAAAATTTTTAGTACGAATATTTTTGCAAGTTAAAGTTTTTGCCTTGGCAACCCTGTAGCAGCATTGTTTATGCCTTGCATGCTTTGGTGTGTGTTCGACCGCGAGACGAGAGGCTGACGTCGACTGCGACGTCGGCTGATGTTTCTGCTGCTCCGGCTGCTGCTTCCACGGAGTGAGCTCAGTTGCTGGCAGGACTTTGACAGTGCAAGTCGACGGTTGCGGGCGCGCGCGTCTCGAGTTTGTTGTTAGTTTTCATGTGTTGTTGTTGCTCGTGGCTGTGCTGCTGCTCCTGCTGCTGCCGTTCTCGCTGCAGTTAAAGTAACAAGCGCGAGCGTGTCCTTGCCGGTTGTGTACTTCACTTCCTCTGCCACTTCTACCACTTCAATTGAAGCGATTCCCCAAAGTGTGTGCATTGCCAATGCAGTCATAAAAGCGCCAGTTTACATATTGGCTTATTGGCATGCTCCTGGCTGTCCGGAAAACGGCCGCGTCGCGAATGCTGCTGCAGGCATAAGTTGTTGACCAGCTGCCGCCGGAATGGCCAGCGAACGTTTAGCCAGTGGCGGGCGTCACGCACGCGTCAGCCCGACGCCGGGACGTGGCAGCAAAATCGCGTATACACCGTGTCCGCGCTCCGAGCCGCCACAGGATCTGGAGCTGGCTGCCACGGCCCGCAATTGTCTGGCCATACCAATGTCCTCGCTGCAGACTGCAAACGGACCCAATAGCAAAGGTAAGTGCGGCTAATTATTGCGCAGATTGCAGTGTGATATATGATTTTGGTATACTCTGTAATAATGGAGCATTTGGTAAGGTGTATTTTAGCGCTGCAACTAATTTGTATTTTAGATTGAAATTTCGTCAAATGAGTAGTATGTAAGGGTTTTAGATACCCTGTACTTATTTTGAAAAGGGTGTATTGTGTTGTAGCTATTTTTGTCAAGGAAGAATATAAACATGTGAATATGCATTATTATAAAAATTCATATTCCAACAACTTGAATCTATTATATCTTAATAGAGCATATCTCTGGTCGATCACTCTCCGTCTCTGTCTCGCTCTCGCTACATGTCTCGACATGCGATTGTTTTGTCTATCTTGGTCTTCTCATAAATCAGCTAAAAAGGGCCGCCGCAGCCGCCTGCATTTGCGCCTGGCAATCAGACTTACAGTTATTTGCTATAGATAATGTTGTTGTTTTTGGTTCTGTTTTGTCTTGCTGTTTTATTTTCACATTTGCCTTGACATGTTTCGTGCGCTGTTTGATGAGTCTTTGCCCTCTTCTTCGCTCCCGCTCGCCTTTCATCTTTACATACATATCTTCATCTGTATTTTGGCTTCCGTTTGCTCTTTTCAAGTGGCAATTTGCATGCGAATTTAACAGCTGCCGATGTCTCTGCCTCTGCCTCTGCCGCTGCCGCTGCCGCTGCCAACACGTGACTTTGATGGCGAATTCATTGTCAATGTGAAATACAAATCGCAAATCAATTCAATGTCTGCCAAGGTTCAGCAAGAGACGAAGTGAGCGGGAGAGAGTAGACAGAGAGAGACAATGGCGAGAAATGTAATCAACATAATCCAATTACGAGGCGTGGGTGAGTGAGCGAGATGGAGTGTGAGCGAATGTAAGAGGGTTTTTTTCTGCTTTGCAGCGATCGGCTTCAACTCTAATAATTATGCTCTCGGAGAAATTCCTTTGTTTTTATGACACCGAAATGTCCCTTTTAGGACTTTTTATGTATAATTGCCTTAAACAAACAATTTTACTCTTATTGAATATTTGGTTTTAATAGGTTGAGTTTTATGGCATAAAACATTTCCTGCGACATTTATTATGATTTTATGGTATATTTTATTGCTGCAACATGTCTCTATCTTGCTAATAAAAATGAATGTCAGGAAAACAAAGGGAAGTACTGCTTGTAAGAAAATATTGCTTTCTTTATGCTTGATTAAATGCCGGAAAGTCGTATAAGAATTTGCTGCTATCCCCAAATGATTGGCGTGAAAAAATGGATTGTTAGAGTTTTTATTGCTTTTGTTTTTTTTTTTTTAGGTGGAAAAAGGGTAGAATTTGTAGAATTAAATCAAAAGGATAATAGAATAGCATACGAATATTTCAAAATATAAGAGATAACGTCGCTTGCAGTCTCAGTTGACATTATGTAATATATGCATATGAAATCGATAATTTTCCAGTACTAAAGATATTTACCAAACAGAAAGAGACAGTCCATGCACAGTATATCCATATCACGCGTAGATTAACACAAATTGAGTTAATTAATTACCCGACATTAAACAGTTATATGTATACCAAAACAGGAAAGCTCCACTCACATCGTACGCTTCTAGGACTTTTATTATACAAAAATTGTGTTGACTAATTGCCCACTGTTCAGCCATTTCATTTTGTTTGCGGTCGGCTGTTGGCCACTGTTAACAAATTGTGGCATAAATGGTCGACTGCTCATCATTCGTAATTAGCCATGTTTTATGTGACGCCAACAGATACAAATTATGATTTTTGAAATTTATGGCTGCAGCAGCAGCGGCGGCGGCGGCACCAGCTGCTGTTGACCCACAAAACTAATAATAATGAATAGAGAAAACGGACCCTAGACTGGGCCAAGCTGCAATTCTGACCCACTGATCGAAGGCGCAAATCACAAAGCGTGTGGCAAGCAATTTAAGCAGCTGCCTAATTAATATTCATGCAACACACACACACACATCGAGGCAAAAATGTCAATAAAGTGGGCGGCGCTTGCCACCCGCTGAGCTAAGCTGCAACGTGCAACATGCAGCGCGCCACGCGGCGTATAATTTATGCAGCTGCCTTTGATGCTGTTGCATATGCATGAAAGTAAAGCGAAAGTAAGGAATGCAAACGCGCAAAAAAGCGAGAATAACTTTGCCTATTTTTCCATTTTTTTTCCATTATTTTCTTTTTTTTTGCTGAGTTCATCTTCTTAAGCGGCTTTCGGTTAGGTAATTTGTAGGATGCCAACATTTTGAGTTTTCTTTTTAACAACAGCTGTTAGGCTAATGAAACTGCCATTAAAATGCAGATGACTAACTGTTTTATAGACAGTTATTGTATATACATATTTTTTATATTGGTTAGATATTTGCAAGAGAACAAGGAATATGAATAAGCATATTGGGTTAAGAGCTGCTTCTTATATTATGTCTTACATATATCTGTTACTCACGTTAAAAGACTGTTAAATCTTTTGATGATTTACATATATGTTCACAAGACACAGATGCTGTACATGAACATTAACATTTGAGCATTTGACAATTAAAAGACTGTTAAATCTTTAACAGATGATTTATATACATGCTCACAAGACACCGATGCTGTATATGAACATTAACATTTGAGCATTTGACAATTCAAAATGATTGATACAATTTAACATAATTCTCTTACCATTTAACATCATTCTGTTAACATATTCTGAGCAGAAATTACTCTAGCTCTTAACTGGATATTAATATAATTATGAATTTAACAGTGCAAGTTTAACATATTTCTGATTTGTACCAGTTTATTTAACAATTTTACCTAATCATAAATTTTATTATTGAAATAATTTGTTCATTGATAACTTAACATTATTCTCACTTAATTCAATATATGCTCATGCCCGCTGACTTTTGCCCTTTGAGGCCATCCAAAAGGGACATTAAATGGCAGAGCCAAAATAGCAACAGTCACAAGCTGCAATTGCATTCGCTCCCCTCTGTTTTGGGTATCGCTGTAACCTTTGCTGGCGCTCGGCCAAAATGCTTAAATTATGGTGCGGGCAGCCATTGATAAGTAGCTCGGCTACATGGCAGCTCACTTCATTTATCACAATTTATGGCTGTGCGGACATGCCAATTGGTAGCTGCAGTTGTCTTTTCTTCTTTTGCACACTATTATTCTGCTTCTTCAGCTTGTTCCTCATCAGCTGCGCCTGTTCGGACTAGCTGGCAACTTGGTCACTTTGTCTCTCGCTTTGCTGCATCAGTGGGTAATTTGCTTCGACTTGCACTTGGCCTTGAACGCGCCGCAGCCAATTGATTTGACGCGCTGCCAAAGATTGTCTACCAAATGGAGTTGTCAGCCAAGGTTCAGAAAGAAGGAAAATAAAACGAGCCTAGTCAGCAAAAATCGCTAGAGTCGACTGACGTTGACAACGTAAAAAGTTGCCCAGATTTAGTCAAATATTTAACTTGGGAGCCAAATTGAAAGATCTTGGGCAAGAACTTTCTTTAGTCTAATTAATTTGTGTTTGCCAAAACTTGTTTAGTTAAATGTAAAACGAATATACTCTTCTCCCTGCTCTGAGCGTGTAAACTGTGAGGCTGCATCAGTTGCTGGCATTTGCTCTCATTTAATCTTTCTGTGTGCATCTTTGTCCTGTGGTTGGCTTTCAGCTGGCTACCCAAATCAGTTTAAGTCTTTTAACTGACAGCTCAAAGGCTCTGAGCTTTATTAAAAGAGTGCGCTAAATATATATATATATATACATACATATATAGATAAGTAAACTGATTACTCTTTTGTCATTGGCTTAGTCTCAATATGGCTTGTAAGTCTGTTTAGTAAGCTGCCTGTATGTTTGTCCTCTCCATATAATACAAGCAGTTTTTTATTGTTATAAAGTTATGAATCTTTAGCTTTGATTCATAAACCAAATGACTTTATTCCCTCATGCAGCTAACGTTTACGAATTCTACACACAAGGGAATTGCAAATTAAATGCTCACTAGGGATACAGAGAGAGGTAGAGAGAGAGAGAGAGAGAGAGAGCGATGCAACCACAGATGTACGAATGTATGTGTGTATATCTGTGTGTGTGTGTGTTTGGGTGTTCTTTTGTTGCCTGAGGCTATGCTTTGCAGTCGCAACGGGAAATGGTTATAGCTCTTCATGTATATAGTATATACATAGATATTTACTTAAGCATATGATATGAGTTTATTTTTAGAAAAGGTTCAGCTTGACCTAAATCAAATAATATTTCTTTCTCCTATATCAAAGAAACTAAGATTTCTTTGCTACAATGACAGCAAGCAACAAGGAAATTCATTTTCTTTTTAAAGTAAGGACTTGGTATTCAAGAATTTCCCATATTTCTTGAAATTTTCTTTCTCGCTCTCGTACCTCAACTCTCGTAGAGCTTTCGTATGCAAATTGTCTGTATATTGGAAAAGAAATTTAGTTCTTTGTTATTGTTCCATAGCGCGTGCTTTGACTTTTAATTGCTTTCATTAATTGCCAATAAATGTATAATCCTAATTGCTTAATTGAACTGCTTAGTATGTCGAGCCTTGGCAGCAGCGATTGGAACCATTCTGCTTAGACAGACAAAACATCCTTCCTCTCCACTCTTATATGTAGGGTAATAGCCATGCCCTTTTTTGACGTCCTGATTTATTTACGCGTCAAGCGTCGAATGCCCATTAAAATGTGTTGAAAAATATGCTTATGAAATGAATTACATACATTTTTTTTCGACATGCCCCCAAAAGCCGAAACAATAAAAAATATTTAATGCATGCGCGAATGTCATTGTTGATGTTGTACGATGTGGGCGTTACGCCCAGTCACGCCCATCTGGTAACAATACAAATACCAGAATGGCTCGTATAACCCTTCTTACCTGCAGAATTGAGCTCTTTTGGTGTGTGTGTGTGTGTGTGGTGTTCCTTCACATACGTTAAATTTATGGGCT